CCTCCGATCTGATCTCAGTGCAATTGCTCTGTCAAAATTCAAACAATTTATATAGCGGCTGTGTCTCTTAACCACTGAAATGGTGCTACCTCTGGGGTGGAATGTGGCAGCTGTCCAACAATCTACATCACCCTTTGAGTCCAGTTTCCAAATCAAACTACAGTGACCCAGTTGGAATTTGGATGGGATATGTGGGGACTTCATTTTCAAGGGCTCCGTTCCTAGTTAAGTCCTAAATAAAGCTAGATTGTTGTAAGTGTTCATCCTGTACGAACTTTAATGCCTAGTAGGCTAGTAGTGTACATGTGTGTCTCTGCCTGTTCACACAGCAGCAAAAGCCCAGGCTGATCCCCCTTCAGCCAAAAATTGTTTGGGTCATCTCCCAAACCTGGGAAGTCCATGACCACAGGCGACTCCAATTAACCAATGACTTTCAGGACCATTTCTCCATCTGCCATGTTCTCACAGTGTGACCTTGACACATGTCATCACCTCCCTGTACCTCAGTTTCCCTAGCCACGGGGTTAAGAGCTAGCTGCCCCCATCAGTGCCTGTGGCATCTCATTCTTGGCAGCCCAGAGCTGCAAGCCTGCAGTAGAAAAGGCATCAGCTCAGGCGGCAGTATAACAACTGGGTGCAGCGATGCCCACAGCCACTGTGTATCACTGGCAGAGGTGACGGGGACCAGCATGCTCTCAGGGATGGGGAGTGACACTGCAGCTGGGTGGCGGGGGCTGGATGTGGCAGCCGAGGGGCAGGGGCTAGAGGCTGCAGCACAGGTGGCTCCTGGCAATGTATACGATGAGAAATGTCTGGGGGCACATGGCAGTGACTTGGCCGGAGGGGAGGAAAGCCCCAGGCAGTCCCACTCCCTGCCCTCTTCTATGGTATGTCTACACTGCACACTAACCCTGGGACCCGGGCTTGCAGACTCTGTGTTTCCAAGCCCCAGCTTGAGTGTCCAGGCTGCAGTGTAAACCTGGGCTTACCATTGCTGCCCCAGGTCTCCCAGCCGGGTCACGCATCCATCCTGCACTGTGCAGACCTTCCAACTCGTGTCTGCGGCTTGAGCTGCATCTTCACTGCAAAATTACAGGACTTGGGACCCAAGTCACAAAGGGACTTGGGCTCTGACCAACCCCCCCTCAGGGTCCTAGGATTTGGGTCCTGGGTGCTTCCTGACCCGAGTCAGCCTGACTTGTGTGTGTGTGTGAGCAGAAGGGGGCTGGGGCTCCAACCCGAGTCAGAGCCCAGGTTTATTGTGCAGGGTAGACATACCTGTAGGTTCCTCTCCTAGCAGGAGCCTGACACTACTGTGTCAGGCACAGAGCTGGTGCTAGGCATCAGCACAGGCCCTGGGCAGGTTGCACGAGCTTGTCACTACCCCTTACCTTCCCCTTCCTCCCATGGGCAGCTGCCCCCCCTGAACTGAATGGCGATGGACCAACCCCCCCCCCCCCCAATGCATCCTAAACCTCCCTCACCCTGGACCTGCCTCCCACCAGCATCTCTAACCATCTAGCTGCCACATCTCCTCTTCCCCACCCATTCTTCAGCCTGCTCTGCAAGTTCTGGGTATCTGGCTGAGACTCCATGCCCCCTTCTTTGCAGAGGATCCCTCAGACCCTATGGAGAGGGGAAGCTGCTCGTAATCCAGCCCCCAGAATGTGCCTTTAATGACCTGACCAGCCCAGACGGAAGGGAAACGTGGCTAAGTGAGAGGTGCATTTGGTGCAGCTTTTTGCTGCTGCTTGGGCCGGGTCCCCTCTGTGGGGACGCCCCCCCTGTGCAGAGCTCTGGCATGAGGAAGCAGCATATGCCACTGCTGTCCAGTGCGGCCCGGCAGAGGCCTCTGCCTGACCTTATGCTGGCACCCAAGTGGGGCTCATTTCCAGAGGCTTCGCTCCCAATTCCTCCTAAGAAGGAAAGTTCTGCTGCCTCTGAAATCTTGCGCAAAAACCTGCTCTAACAGTTGTGTGTTCTCCAGTGTGAGTCATCCCCACCTTCCCATAACAACATTCCTTCTCTGTGATATAAGGTCCTGGCTGTTCTACTCTTCCCATGCATCTCTTTGTAGCCAGTCTGGACGCCTCAGGCCCAGAACAAGGAGCAGGGAGTATAATCATGCTAATACTTTGCCCTCCCTCAGCAGCTGGGATGTAGGAAAACCTATACAATGGATGGGGAAAGTCAAGCACAGAGAGGTTGCAGAAGATCACACAGCAAGGCAGTGGCAGAGCTGAAACTGGAGTGGATCTGCCTCTCATCCCTCGGCTCTTATATCTGGACCATGCTGGATGTCATGTACAGCAAATGTCAAGATGATGTTTATTTGCAAAGCAGAAGGAACCTGGGATAACATCCTAGCAGGGAATTTCCTCTAGCATCCAATGTGCACCTAATAACTAATCTCCCCTCTGCTGTTGGTTCAGGGGACTGACAGTCCTGAACTAGGCTGTTATGGATCAGAACCATTCACATGGCTGGCGTTAACTCTGAGGTAAATCAGAAGACACCCAGCTCCCAGAGACGTAATAGGAGGTCAGCACCACTGAAAAATCCAGCTTCAGATCTAGTGCTGGCCACAGGGGAAGGAGGAACTGGCCCATGTGTAGACCCTGAATATAAATCAAATATCTTTCTTTAAAGAATTCTTTTTTCCTGGCGTATGGAGCCAGGCTCAGATGCTCGTGCAGGGGCTTTAATGTGGTGCAAAGTGTTGGAAAAAGTAAGGTCAGGAACAATGACTCCATGGTGTTTCTGTGCTAACTTTCCTCCTTGCAGAGGGCTCAGCCATGCAGCTTTCTGATTCAAGAGTGGAGCTAGCCATTTGAAATGTCATAATAACCCTTTGCCTTTCCTTTGGGCTTCTCATCCAAAGACCTCCAAAGTGCTTTCCAAACACCACTTGAATTAAGCCTTGCAACATCTCCAGGAGGGAGGTAATGTGAGAGAAACAAAGCGGTTTGCACAAGGCCATACAGCATGTTAATGGAAGAGCTGGGAAGAGAACCCAGGAGTCCTGACTCTCTCACTCCCATCCCAGAGCTGGGAAGAGAATCCAGGAGTCCTGATGCCTAGACCCCTGCTCTACCCCTTGGACTACTATAAACAAATGGGCAGGTGCCCCCCCAGCATACAAAAAGACGGCATACAATGTAAGTCATTGGTGAACTGAGCCCTGTATCTTCCAAAGCAGACCTGCTATGCCCTGGGCACCAAATCCTGCAGCCCTGACTTCATCAAACTTGCCAGTGATGTTACGCATATGCACTGTGGGATTTGATCCCCAAACCGAGTGGGGGAAGGGCAAGGTCCAGCAGTGTTTTAATGAAAGAGCTGATGAACAGGCTTTTGTCTGGTACAGGTCAACAGGAATTTGGCTCCTTGAAACTGATGGAGGTGGCTCATTCCTGCCTGGGTGCAAGCTGGTGTGCATGTGATAGGCTGTTTGGTGCATTAGCAGGTCAGCTAGAACAAGTTTGAGCAAACTGGCCATTTGTTTCAATCATCACACTGTGCCAATTGCAATTCAGATGTGAGGTATGCTGTTCAATGAACGGGGAATGTGTGTGTGTGTGTGTGTGTGTGTGTGTGTGTAATACCTTGGTTATTTTTAGGTCCACTCTTCCTGTACATCCTGCTACTGATGGAGGAAAAAATACACACACCAGCATATTTGAAACTGTTTTAAAAAATCTTTCCTTTTCATTATTAGCCAACCTAGGACATGCCTTGAGACCTTAATTTAAACATCCCTCCAGGCCCTTGTCCAGTATGTTAGTCGCCAAAAGTGACTGTATTTAGTGCAGCAGGCTTTCATGGTGAATGATACCACATAGAAGAGGTACATTTGGGAGGCAGAAGGTAAAGAGAGTCTGTAATGAAATAGCAAGTCTGTCTGTCTGCCCCACTGCCCTCTTCTTGGAAAAAATCAGGACCATTCCACTGTGTCTCACAGTGTACCAGCACTGTACTGCTGGCAGCTGTGGGAGACTTCCTTAGCATCTGTGTAGGAAAGTGGGCTTTCAAATCAGCAGGATCTATCTCTATTGGCCTCTCATGTTAGTATCCGAGTCTGCGCATATATTTATGGATCTGTTCTCACACCATCCCTGGGTGGAAGAATCATAACGGTGATTTTACAGTCAGTGATGTGCCGGAGGTCAGGGAGAGAGAGAAAGTCTGTAGCAGAGCTGGGAATTGGAGTCACAGCTCCCAAATCCCAGCCCAATGCATTAACCACAAGATCATCCAGCCTTCCTCTGTTGACCCTTGCTGCCCTCATGGAGTTCCCAGTGGCCACAATCGGTCACCATCCAGTCAAAGGGGAGTGAAAGTCTACAGTACAATTAAAACAAATCAATATATAGTAAAGCAATTGTTACTTTTTCATGAAGAGCCCTTGGGTTGAAATTCATAATTACTCATCACAATTCCATAAAACAAGTTAAGGAAGCCTCTGGTCCCAGCTGGATTTCTCTCCCCCTCACCCTAGAATGTTGTAGCCAAGTGGGCAAAAGCATGACAGGAACTATTACAGCCTCTTCCCAGCTGGCAAGAATCCAAAGCACTTTTGTCTTTTATCCCCCCTTGACTCACCTTAAACTTGTTAGAATCTAAGGGGAGAATGTCCTCAGCCTTTCCCGCCTGCCTCTATGTATTTTTAAACCTGTTCCACACTGATTTTTAATTACCCCCCCCCCTCTGGTGCTAAGAACCAGTCCGAGTTTCATCCAAAAAGGCCGCTCTAGTTTTTTCCCTCTCCTTCTAAGCCGCTGTGCGAGGAAATCAGAGACTATCTTGCAGAGCAACTGAGGGCTGGGGGGGGGGGGGGGCGGCGGAGTCTTTTTCATTTTTATTTCTGTCACTTTATGGTGCAGATGTTTTTTTTTAAAAAAAAGAAAGAAAGAAGAAGAAGAAAAGAAGCCACCGAAGAACTCTCCCAAGGCAGCAGGGCCGCGAGGGGAGGGTGGGGAGAAATCCGAGACCAGCAGGGGGGGAAGCGGGAGAGGGAACGTGTGCGCCCGAGGGAAGAACGGCGGAAGACAAGGGAGAGGAGGAGGGGAGCCAGGGTTTAAAAGGAGGCCAGTGGAGGATTAAGGGGAGGAGATCCCGGGCAGGGTGGGGGGCGCTGAGACGCCCTAGCTGGGGAGCAGCCACCCCACGCACGCAGCAGGGCGGAGAGGATGGACCCTTGAGCCCCCCGCAGCCGCTGCCCTTGCGCTGCGTCCCACAGCCGGAGGCGCCTCTAGGGGGCACAGCATGGAGCCTGGGCTCCGGGGGCTGGAGCAGCTGCAGCCGCGGGACCCGGGCGCCCCCCGCAGCGGGGCAGCGCGGAGGCCCGAGGGGGTGACTGCCGGCAGGGGGTCGGGGTGGCTGCGCGGAGAGGTCAGTGCCTGGGCCGGGCGCTCCGGATCCCGTGGGCCCCTGGCGCAGCCGCGCGTCTGGCTGTGGAGTGAGTGACCCGGGGCCACCTCCCGTGCCGGGCGCTGCCTGCCCCTTTCCGCCGGCCACAAGGCGGGGTGGAGAGACGTGACCCTTCCCCTCCCACTCCAGCGTGGGCTGAGCATCCCCGCCCCGAGTGCCACCGGCCGGGCGGGGCCCTGCACTTCACTGGCAGGACTCGGCCCACCCTGGCGCCCCGAAAGTGGCCGAGCTGGGCCGGGCGGGTGAGTGCCGGGGCCGCGAGGAAACCCTCTGCTTGCGCGGCTGCGGTTGCTGCCTCTGGTTCCCGCGCCTTCGTCCGGCCTCCCCGAGAACGCAGAAACTTCCCCGCGGAGCCCGCCGCTCCCGGGGACAGCCGGCTCGCCCCCCGGCCTCAGGTTTCCCGCAGCTGGCGATTCGCCGCGCTTCTCCGCTCATCCGCCCGGGAGAGAGACGCCCGGCTTTGGAAACGCTTCGCATGGGGAGAGCAGCGGACTCGGCGCGCTGGGGGTGGCTCCGCAGCAGCTGGTAGGTGACTGATTCAGCTGGGGATTAGCACGTTAAGAAACCCAACAGTTAGTCTTGTAAAGTGGGGCGGATTCCAGTCAAACCTCCTTCGCCCCCCAGGGGAGAAACTTCCTGGACAAACTCCACTGGGTCAGCAGTGAAATTCCTAGAAGTGTGCTGTGGGTGGGTGGGGAAGGGGAAACACACATGTAAACAGTTGGTTGTCATAGACTACGTGCAACCTACGGCGGGAAGGCTCCCCCAGGGCAAATCCCAGAGTGTTTACATGCAGCTGGATCCTGGAGGCAGATTTTGGCTGAGAAGAGAGACAGAGGATCTAGGGAGGCTGATCTAGTCCATGGCTAGGAGGCTGTTGGAGATTTCGAATCCGAGAACTGCTGTAGAAAGAGACTCCGGCCGGCCCTTTGCACAGAAACCACAGGATCAATCTTCGTGCAACTTCCCCTTGTGTTAAGGGGGCCAGGAAGGGACAGAGAGGGAATCGGGCTGCAGAGGCTAAAATCCCAGTCTCAGGTGAAGGTGAGTTAAACTCCTGTTCATAAATCTGCATCCTCTGAAGCTAAGAGGTGTGTGACAGGGCTGGGGGAAATGCAACAGTGCTTGTAGGGTTTTGTTGGGTCTGTGCTGGGATGAGATGCCCTTGGCCAAGGCTCTGTCCTCATACTGTGTTCCAAAAGCAGCCGTTTAAAGGAACAATATCCTGGAACCGCCAATGGCGGGGACTTTGCATGGACAGTCACAGGGGAGCTGGGGCAAGAGGTGGAGAGGGAGGGGGGGGAGTTCCAAGATGTTATTGAGTAATACCAGCCAGACTTGTAAATCCTCTTCTCTGGCCTTGGCTGCACTAGGGAAGAAATCCACCCCTGGGATCTCCTCCCCGGCTATGAACGTTCAATAACTTAGGAGCCCCATAGAGCAGCTTTTATCTTCCTCTCTATTGCTGGAATTTTCAAAGATGCCTAAGGGAGCTGAGCACTCAGCCAATGCCTTAAAAATTGCAGCCCATGTGTTTTTTCTCTGACTTCTTTTTGCTGGATCATTCACTAAATATGTTGGTATGTACATTTCATAGAACCTCAGGAGTCCAACCCCCTGCTCAAAGCAGGACCACTCCCCCAATTTTTGCCCCAGATTCTCTAAATGGCCTCCTCAAGGATTGAACCCACAACCCTGGGTTTAGCAGGCCAATGCTCAAACCACTGAGCTGTCTCTCCCATTTCCTTCTTTCAGCTACTCTGAGACCCTGTGCCACTTCCAGTGAGTAGGAATTTTTAGAGGAAAGGCTGCTATTGGCCCACTCTGTCCCCTTCAATTAGGTGAAGGAGCTTAAAAAAAAAACACACCCTGAGCTTAGACTGTTAATATACTGTTCTCTTGAGATAGGATTTATTCATTGTTTTAAAGGGTGCAAACAATGAGCCATGCCGGTATCCTTTCAGAATCTGCCCAGAGAAGTGCAACCTTAGCCCATGTTGGGCAGTGGGCCAGAGTAGAGACAATTAGATGAGAAACCCTTTCTAAGAAACTGTAATGAGTTATGTGGCCATCTAACTGGCTTGACCCGCGTGTGACAGATTGTAGTTCAGTTCCCAGCCATGGTGATTAGTGTAATTAGCAGAACAAATCTGCCTAAAGCAGGCTTTGTAATTAGCAATCAGCTGGATGCTTCTGCACATCTCTGTTAGGGGTAGTAAGGAATAAACCCCATGTAGTATAAATCCCAAAGAAGCCAGGGTTAATTTACTGCTGGGAACAATCCAGGAGGGCTAGGTCACTGCTCTCTGGGTATAAAGCTTTCCCTATATAGAACCCAGGCTCCCCTCCACTGCCTGCCTTGTCCATGGCTCTGATCTTTCTGGGTCACTCTGCTGTTTGGTTCTTTCCTACTAGTCCCTGCCTGCTCCAGTTTGTTTGTTCCCTTCATCCTGGTTGAGAGTCTGATGAGCACCTGTGAAAATCAGGCCATGAGTGCCTTGCATATGATCCTAGAGTGAATCAGTGACAGAACCCCAGGAGTCCTGATTTCCCTGTCCCGTGCTCTAACCACCAGACCATGCTCCCTCCCAAAGCAAACTCCTTTACGCTGCTGGCCCTTAGTTGACTTTTACAGTGCAGTGACGAGCCTGGTAGCGCCTGCAGCTGGCTCTGGTTTGGGTCATGCAACCTAAAAATACAACCAAATAAAAAGCCCAGTTGGTTGCCAGCCCACCAGCTGGGCAGAACAGGTGACCGCTCGGGTCAGCAAAATATTCGGGGACTGGTTAGCAGCTGCAGAGTTGGAAGGAGCTGATGTGTCCGGGAGCCCAGGGCAACTTCAGGATGGAGAGCTACACTGCGATGCATGAACAGCGCTGTGGTATTTTAGATGCCGAGCTCTGATTCTTACAGCTGCAAGCCCTGTTCTGAATCCATCGCCTGAAGGGGGATTGTTTTGCACGTACACTTCCCACACATGGGCCTCTTCTGTGTGGGACAGGCTGGGGTCACAGCTGCTGAAATGACCCAGCAGCAGAATAAAACAGGGGTGCTCAGGACACGCTGGCAGACTGCTGCACCAGTGTCACCCCCTTTCTGGCTGCAGGACCCTTGCAGAGGTTGTTCTCCCGCAGGGGCTGGGATAGGTGGATTTTTAAGGCCCTATTTCAGGAGATTGGCATCAGGTCCTCCATCCCGCACCAGCGTTGAGAGCACTCAGCACCACACAGGATCAGGCCCAGATACATGGCGATTTAGGACAGACCTGGCACCAGGCTCCCAATGTCTTGCAGCGTGTTTGATGCACATGGGCCCCTTAGGCATTGAATGCCTCTGTGCAAATACATTTTGAAACCCCCCAGTGCTAGTAGCTGTTTCCTGGCTGTGTCACCCTGAAGGAAGACAGCCAGTGCTGCTAGCCTGTGTTCTTGGAGCTTCCCCAGCCTGCAGTGCGTGCTAACCCTCTTCCTGGCTCCTGTGTGGGGAGTTGAGTGGCCATAAGTCCTGACTGATATCGATGGTACCAGATTTGAGGAGATCTGTCCTGCTCTCTCCAGCTTTAAGCTTGGCGGACATCCAGAGGAAGGCAGAGCCCCATGATTAGGCCAGGGGATTGGCCACTAGGACTCCTGAGTCCTAGTCCCAACTCTCTGTGGCTCAACTTACCTGTCTGTGAAATGGGGATAATGCTTTTCTATCTCCCAGGCTCTGGCAGTTAATGAGTTCATGTTTGCGCTTGTAAAGCCTGTTAGATCCTTGTGTGAAAGGCGCAGGAGAAAATCTACTTACTCGTGATTTAATTAATAATCCCCCATTAGTTTGGAGGCTAACGGGAATGTCATCACAAGGTGACACTGCATTGGGGTATGCTGATGGCTCGCTGCAAATATCACAATTGTCATGACACACAGACTTTACCCGAGGGAGGAAGCCAAGAAAGTGGCAGCCCTAAGGATAATAATGGGCAGTGAACAATTAAACAGGCTTGGTTTCTGCGGAGAAAAACCCATAAAGACCCCCGTCCTTATTCCCCACGTTGCCCATTTTATTTCCTTCTGGGCTTGGCAGCTGAACTCTTTATCCATGGGAAGAAATGGAAGCAGTCTAATGATGATGGAAAAAGAGGCAGTAGCTGTGACAGGTTGAAAAGCCAAGGGGGCAGAGGCATTATTTAGGGCAAGGAGGCATCGCTGAGATTAGCAGGGGAAATTGAGCAAAGGAAAATCTAGGTTGGATACCAGCCAAAACATCCAATCAGTGAGCTCCGGCAGGCTACAGAAGACTCTGCCCCATTGCTTGAGTCACTTGAGGCTGGACTAGACAAAGCTCTGGGAAATACAGACTGCAGGGAGCAATCCAGCACCAGTTCTGGGAGGTCTCTTTTGTTCCTAACTTCTCGGCTAAAAGACTCGGACGAGAAGGACCAGCACAAGATCCTGTGGACTGGTAACCCTTACTCACGGGAGCAATGCTACTGAAGCCAGTGCGTGGGGCTACTCCGGAGCAAAGAGCAAGCCTGAAATCACTAAGCTGATGAGTCTCAGCTGATTCCCGAGTCTCTCCGCAGCCTGGCTTGCTGTTCAAACATTCATCCTAGTGAGCTCGCTGGAGGTTGGGATCTGGCTGTGGGCCAAGGGGGCTGGAGCAGGGAGCTGAGGCATGGAGTGGGATGGGGACTGACAAGTAAGGAGATGCTGTGAAGAAGTGTAGGGCCCAAGGGTGCTTTGCTCAAAGGGGGAGGGGCGACGAACTGTATGGAACAAGGTGGGTGTTTTCCATTCCAACCATCCCCCTGCTGCGGTGGGAACGGAACATGGCAGCATCGGGCTAGTGCCTGCTGGAGAACCAGCACCAGGGCTTCCTAACTGAACATCCTGCTTGCCCCGCTCTGCACCTAGAAGCTTCCTCTGGCCTTCATGTCACTTTCCTTCTCTCCAGTGCTAGGGGCCCAGAAATAGAAGCCCCTGTGGCTCTGGCTGGGGTTTTAGTGGGTCTCGTTCGGTGGCTCCAGCCACATCACATTTCACCGGCTTCTATTTTCTTCACTCCCCCCTGCGGCTTCCAGGACGGGGTTGATCCCCACACACACTCTCAGAGGCTTGTCACGCTACCTGCCAGCCCCTCTCATGCCTGGCCTTCACCCCTCCTCGCCAGTCCGCTCCAGGCCTGTGGCTCTGTCCCGGGCTCCTGTCTGTGCTGTGGGCGCGTCCTTCTAGTAGAGAGGTTGCCCTGAGCCCTCCAGCTCCGCTCCCTGCCTGGGCTCTGCAGTATAACAGGGGCCTCTGCTGCTCACCCTGGGCTTTGAGTCTCGCACCAGGGGTGTGCCTGGGGGACTCAAACATGTCTCTGAGATGGGGAAGGGCATGAACCCACTTCCTGGCCTGCTCCCACTGCCCTCCCTTCTGACTCCTTTCCCCGGCTCAGGGCCAGGCCTGGCTCCCCAGAGTCCCTAAATGATGCTGAAGGCTGAGATGGGACCTGCTGCTGCCCAATTGCTGCTGGGGATTGTCCATTTGCAGCCCAGTGGGGGGCCCTTCATCCTTGTCCTAAGCAGCCCTGCATGCAGCGCCCCTTGCCCTGGCAGCAGGCTCTGGGCGCTGGCCTGTGCCTGGCCTGCTCTCAAAGGCATTTCAGCAGGGAAGCCCAGCAGCTGCCTCAGGATTGTATCCGCCCAGAGGGGGCGGTGGCAGCACCAGGGCTTCTATGCTCTGGCAGAGCTGCTGGCGTTTCTTGCTGGACACTGTTCCCTCAGGAGCAGAACGAGGCAGGGCCCCCCAGTGCATGGCAGAGCGGTGGTCACGCCCTCTCCGGGCAGCCTTTTAGTGCATAACCTTGCTCTTCATGACTTTATTGTTGATGGGCTGAAAATGCTCCAGTGAGCCCCAGACCAGGGGAGGCCTCCTCACACCCTACACCTTGCCACTGTGTACTCCGTCCCCATCTGAAATGAGCATTCGGGGGGATGGGCACTGGCTTTTCTGTGAAGATGGCTAATTCCTGCCAACTCTGATGAGGTTCTTGTGATGGGAATGCCAGTGCACTGG